GCCTCTCCTTATCCACTGCACTACCTTCCCATGGATGAAGGAGCTTGAATTTCAGGACTTGTCCATCTTCTGGGAATTCGTTTATGAAGCTCCACAGTTGGTAGACTAGATACAGCGATGGTGTGGGGACTTCTCAATGAAATGTTCCAATTTACATCTCAGTGTCTCCAGTGCCAGAATGAGATCATCCCTGAGAGAAAATGCCACTGCCTGGCCAAGCTCTGTGGCCATTCTCTTTTGCAAGGCTGTGTATAGAATCTGTAAGGCCCGGGGAGCATGCCGTCTCCTCACATGTAAGGCCCGGGAAGCATGCCATCTCCTCACATGTAAGGCCCAGGAAGCATGCCGTCTCCTCACATGTAAGGCCCGGGGAGCATGCCGTCCCCTCACATGTAAGGATTGGAGAGCATGCCGTCTCCTCACATGTAAGGCCCAGAGAGCATGCTGTCTCCTCACATGTAAGGCCCAGAGAGCATGCTGTCTCCTCACATGTAAGGATTGGAGAGCATACTGTCTCCTCACATGTAAGGCCCAGAGAGCATGCCGTCTCCTCACATGTAAGGCCCAGAGAGCATGCTGTCTCCTCACATGTAAGGCCCAGAGAGCATGCTGTCTCCTCACATGTAAGGATTGGAGAGCATGCTGTCTCCTCACATGTAAGGCCCAGAGAGCATGCCGTCTCCTCACATGTAAGACCTGGAGAGCATGCTGTCTCCTCATATGGGGTGTCTGAGAGGAATCTGAGCAAAAATGAAACCTGAAAAGGCTTCTGGTCCTCTGGGAACCTGGCCAGGAGACCTTTTATCTGAGCCCTTTTTTTTTGTGAACCTTTTACAATATTACTTAAATTTAATTTTAGAAGAGAGCTACTCAATTTCAATGACACAAATGGACATTATACTATTAAAAAGCAAAATAAAATATGCTCTAGATAATTAGCTTCTACTTTCCAACCCAAGCTGTTGTTTTCCACTAAGTTTTTAATATAAACATTTTCAGACATGAGGAAAATATCTTCTGTGAGTGTCTATATCTACCTACCTCTTAAATCCTATAATTTAAACTTTCTAAACTTAACTTCATTAAAAATGCATCCTCCCCAGATACTTGAGTTTTATGTCACTGTTCAGTATTTTTATAGTTCTTTTTTTCTTGATATAAAATGTATATGTCATGTAACATTAAAATATGAATAATTCACACCAGCCAGAGTATATGCAGAGACCAGTGCAGACACCTAGAGCCCACAGCCGGATCAGGATACGGTGATATATATCCCTCCAGTCCTAGCTGGGGTGGTCTGAGTGAGACTCTTTCCCATTGGCTCAGGTGTTTAAACACTTGATCCTTGGTTTGTAGTGCTGTTTAGGGAGGGTTAGGAGATGTGGACTTGTTAGAGGAAGCATGTCACTGTGGGCGGGCCCTGCAAGCTTATAGTCTCTGCCTGCTTCCATTTTGTTCTCTCTCTGCCCTGTGTGTGTGTGGTTCAGTGGTGTGGGAGAATTGTCTGTATTCTGTCAATCATATTTTAATAAAACGCTGATTGGTCAGGCAGGCAGTATAGGCGGGAAAGCCAGACAGGAAGTAGAGGTGGAGCAAAGAGACTGGGAGTATTCTGGAAAGCAGGAAGCTCCCTCCGCAGTTCTGCCCAGACCACTGGAGAGAAAAGAAGTTAAAAGTAAAATTAAAAGAAATAGAGGTTGAAATAAAGTCGCATAAAGATGGAAAATACACAGAGAATCTTGATACTGTATGCTATTATGCTCTCTTTGAATTGTTTAAATGCTGAGGAAGGAGCAACAGTCGCCAAAAGACATTTGCTTATAAATGCTGCAGAATTAATCCAAGATAGGAAGTCAAAAGGTATGTTACTTTGGAGAAGAGATTTTGCTTTTGTTTTCACAGAAAATGAGAGGCTGTGGATTCATTCTGAGTTAAGGAAAATCAGGTTCAAAAAAGGAAGACCACCTGAGAAATCTCCGATAGGAACAGATGATCTGGATGTCTGAGTTCTACATCCAGAACAGATTCAAGACTGCTGCCTGAGATGATCAAGACTCACAGGATACTCCAGTCAGGACTTGATTATAACTCTAAATTTTCTTTAGGCTTATGATCCCCATAAGATCATTAGCGCCCCCAACCAGCAGGAAGTAGCCTGAAATACTACGCCCACATTCCCAACAAATGGACTATGGGTATTTTCCTTTGTTTAAAAAAAAAAAGAGGGAAATGGTGTGGGAGAATTGTCTGTATTCTGTCAATCATATTTTAATAAAACGCTGATTGGCCAGGCAGGCAGTATAGGTGGGAAAGTCAGACAGGAAGTAGAGGTGGAGCAAAGAGACTGGGAGTATTCTGGAAAGCAGGAAGCTCCCTCCGTAGTTCTGCCCAGACCACCGGAGAGGAAAGATGTAAGCTGCCTCACTGGAAAAGGTACTGAGCCATGTGCTGATGTAGATAAGGATAATGGGGTAACATAAGTTATAAGAGCTAATAAGTAGCCTGACCTAATGGGCCAATCAGCTTTATAATCTTATGGAGTCCTGTGTGTGATTTTCTGGGATTTACTGGCTTGTTATAATCTTATGGAGTCTTGTGTGTGATTTTCTTTGTTGCTTGCCAGTTGTGGGGTACTGGGAGGGACAGATACCCCAACAAGCCGGCCCCGTCATGTTACAGTTCAGGATGGGAAACCTGTTCCTGTCACCATGTCTGATCCATGCTTCTGTATTTGTGTTGCTTTTATCGGTTGAATAAAGAAACTGCCTTGGACTTTTGATAGGGCAGAATTTAGATAGGTGGAGTAGACCGAACAGGATGCTGGGAAGAAGGGCAGTGTGGCAGATGCCATTGTTCTCCTGCCCAAGACGGACGCTGGTTAGACTCATGCCAGTAAGCCACAGTCAAGTGGCGATACACATTAATGGAAATGGGTTAAATCAAGATGTGAGAGTTAGCCAATAAGAGGCTAGAGATCATGGGCCAGGCAGTAATTTAATTAATACAGTTTCTGTGTGATTATTTCGGGTGTAAGCTAGCTGGGTGGGACGGAGCAAAGGGGCCCTGCACTTCCTACTACACATGCGGGTTCACCATGGTGGACTCTTACCCCTTTGGAACCATACCCCAATAAATTCTTCCTTCTGTAAGCTGTCTCGGTCATTGTGTCTTATCCTAGTATTATGAAAGTAACCAATACACTAACCCTTGAGATACACACACACTCACACAAGTACACACACATACATACACTGCCTATAATTCTAGACCTTATCAGCATACACTCACATATGCACACACACACATGCACTCACATATGTATACACACACGTGCTCACATATGCACACACACATGCACTCACATATGTACACACACACACTTACACGTACACATGTGCACACACACATTGCCTATAATTCTAGACTTTATCAGCATACCGAATGCTAGCATTGCCAGAAGTTCCCCTCAGATCCCTTCACAAATCATTCCCCACCTCTACCTATTCACACCCAAGCACCGATTTTTTTAATTTGACTACTGATCTGTTTTAGCAGTCTGAAAATCTAACAAGGACCCACTCAGCAAGAACTCGGTTATGTAATGCTCTTCTCATTTAGGGTAGTTTTCTTGGGACTCATCTACACTACTGTATGCATCAGGAACTCATTTGTTTGCATTACTGGGTCGTATTCCATTATGTATGAACTTCGGTTTGTATACTTCTTTTGTATACAACTGCAAACCCAGGTTTCCAATTTTTGCAAACTTTGGAAAAAGCTGCAGTTTTAGATGAATCTTCTTACAGACATGCTTTCATTCTCCTTTGGTAAATACCCAGGAGTGAAAGCACCGGATCTTGGTAGAGGTAGACATGTTTATTGTACACTCTCCCCAGCAGTGCAGGCCATTCTGCTTTGCTACACAGGCACACTTGGCACCAAGTCTCTTCCTAATTTTAATTCATCTAGTGGGTGTAAAGTCATTTAGGCTCTACTTTGGCAAATTTTCCAAACTAGCGACAAATGACATATGCATGAGGATCAGGTTTGAAGGAAATACTGCCTGAAGAGACAGGCGAAGGAGGCATTTAAAAGGTTCCTTTATCTGAATTTGTGCTGCGCTGATGAAGGGACGCAGACTGGGTAGCCAGATGCACTCTTCAGTTTCTAATTTTCTCAACTGGACTATGGGACAAGAAGTTAATACCTAGAAAACTACAGTTTCTGCCGCAAGAGGGATAGGAGCTTTGTATTCTGATGGGTGGACAACAAGTTCTCCCCCATCTGCCTCTACAAGGGCCCTTCCTGCAACGCTGGCTCAGCCTACTCCATAGCAAACCACCTAGGGAAGAGACACTTGCTCTCCCTGTCTCTAATGTCTCTGGCCCAACAGACAGAAATTAACATTTTTTAACATCAGCACTGTGCTAAATGAGGGCAATTTGTACCTCTTTCCATTAAACTGTCAGAACAACATTTCTGTCAATCAGCTATGGACAATCTCATGCTGAAGATGGGAAACAAAGCCTCACATAACTTTAGTAACTTGCCCCCCGCCAACACACACACATGAACCTGAACTTGACTCTGTACCCTAGGCTCTACCTTGATGAGCACCTGTAAAGCAAATCACTGGGGCTGAGCAGTCCCTTGGGAACTGGAGCCGGTTGTGGTGGAGAGTGCTGTCTCTCCAGAGTCTGCCTCCCTCTCTTCCCTGCTGTCTGCTTCCTCCAGAGTTTCCAGCAAAGACAGGATTGAACCTTCCACCCATGAACATGACCAGTCCTTCGGAGGGCTCAGACGGAGATGAACTGAGGCTGCCTCTCTGCTGGCTTTCCTCTTGCAGGAGGAACCACCAGCTGCCACTCTCCCGCTCCTCCTCCTTGTTGTGTAGGTGCCTCCCGGCCCCCTCACTGCTCTCTGGCCTCCCTCTTCATTCCCTGCTCAGTGTGAACAGAGAGGGAACTGCCATCCTGTGTTTCTGCAGTCTGAGTTACCTGTTCCTGGAAAGCACTGGCTTGCTCCTCAAATCCTGCTGTTCGGAAATAATTGACGACGTCCATCACAGCCCAGTCTGCAGGATCGGGAGGCCTTCCATTTTCCATGGAACTGCAAAACACCAGATCCAAGGTGTCAGACTGTGGCACAAATGCAGGGATCGACAGGCTCACTGCCTTGCCCTTAAGGACCAGTCTGAGCCAGCTCACTAGGAGCCTGCTACTCACTTCCCTCAGGGCCTATCCCATTCTACCCACAGAAGGACTTATGGTGCTTCTTCTGTGTCTTAGTTTCTTGTGATCATTACTCATACTGGAGTAGCCAATGATTTCTCAGTAAAGTATTTGACTTTTAATGAAAATGGTTCCCACAAATACTGTTTAACTTAGAGACATTTAGAGTGGCCCAGTCACTTTTGGTGGGCTATGGTTTAATATTCCTTCTGCAATTCAGTGTGAATATTTACTTTACAATGTGACTCTAACACAGGTCTCCCAATTCAAAGAAAAAGCCATTTTTCATAGATCATGCTTCTCTGCTGCATTCTGTTCCAACCCCTTCTGACACTCTCTCTACCTGATGAATCCTTACCAGTCCAAGCAATTCAAGGGTTGCCTCTGTGTTAAGATACTTCCTGGCATCAGGAAGTACTTAATTTATAATCTGTTCCAAAACCCAATACTTCATTCAGATGACCACTGTAGCACCTTCTACGGTGGGTTAAAGAGATGTGGGGCAGAGACACACATCTGAACTTGGCCAGTCCTCACTGTATTATTCTAAGTGTCAAGTATACACTTAAGGAAGTCAGTCAACATTGTTCAGAATGAATGACAGCGATTAAACAGATGAAAATCAGGCATGTTTGAGAGGCTTGGGTAGCTCTTCTCCCTGGGTTCAGAGAGAAGGGACAGAGGTACAGCGGTGAGAGAGAAGCAAAGCTCTGCAGTTCTGGGACTCTCCCTCACTTCATACTTATTTCAGGAGCACCCGTCTAAACCTCATCCACGGCCATTCCCAGAGGGGCCAGCTGATCACATTGTTTCCCTGATCAAATCCTTCAAAGGCTTCCTGTTCCTGTGGCAAATTCCCATGAGCTGAACGGACACCCTAGGGGACAAAGACCTCCACTCTCCACTTAACAGACACCTATGGGACAAAGCCTCCACTCTCCAACTAGAAACGCAGTTGGGAGTAAAAGGCACAGCAAGCCTTACGTGCCCTGCAGCGTTTCAGGGTGGACACTGATCAACAGCGTGCTGCAGATGGAAGCCGCAAGTTATACAACAGCTAGGGAGGACACGAACACTGTGCTGGGACACAGCAGGCCTAGGGAGTTTCAATGTATAAAGAAGTCAGGAGAAGATTATTCATTCCAAGCTCTGTGGTAGGGATGCAGTCAGCCAAGGAGCCTTGATGATCCTGGAGACCACACTGAGGAGTCCATACTAGGAAATCAGCAAACAACCTTCTAGGAAGGAGTGGCCTAGTCAGAGCCACAGTTTGAGGAGTATGGAAGAGGAACGAGGAGGGGAGAAAGAATGGGAGCGTGAACTTACTGCAGTCATCTCAGAAGAAATCACAATCTCAGACTAGGAGAGTGACTAGGGAAAAGAAAGAACTCAGACCAGAGCAGTGGCTATAACAACAAGAAGACCACGGGTAAAACACTAATGGACAGAATCACCACAGTCTGATAGGCTCAGTGGAGGGCTGAATGATGGTGGTACCGTCACTGAGACAGCGCCCCTGAGTTTTTGTCATGAGAGGATTTAACGGGTCTGGAACTCAAAGCAGAGGAGAGAGCTGGAGCTCAGCTGGGAGACAGAGGCTCTGATGACCCCCAGCGTGGTGAGAAGAACGGGGTTCTGGAATTAGGCTTGGCACAGCTCAACACTCAGTACAAGTTGAGAAGATCTTTGCTGTTCTTAGAACAAAATGCCTACCTAGACTTTGATCGAGGTCTCTACACATCTAAAAGGCCAGAATCTAAGAAAAATATCTCATTCAAAGCAAGAACCTTAATTACAAACAAACAATTACAACTACAAAAACCAACCAACCAACCAAATAAGCAGATCAATCAAATTAGCCAATGGACATGCAATTGGCCATTTTCTCAGTAGTGCTTAATTTACAAGCATTTACAACCAATGTCTTCTGGTTACAAGAGTTTCCTTCCTGAGTTTAAGCAGTGTGTGCTTGTGTCTTAGGTTTTTTTTTTTATAGCTGTGAAAAAGCACCATGACCAAAAGAAGAGAAAAGGGTTTATTTGGCTTATACTTCTATACCATAGTCCATCATGAAAAGAAGTCAGGGCAGGACCCAAAGCAGAGCAGTGGGGAAGTTCTGATCACTAGCTTGCTCCCATGGCTCATTTAGGTTTTTTAGACCCTGGGACCAAATGCCTAGGGTAGTGTCACTCACAATGGTCCAGGCTCTCTGACACCAATCCTTAATCAAGAAAACGCCCATGGACTTGTCTCAATTGTTGCCTCAAAAGAAATAATCTCAATTGCTTTTTCCCTCTTCTCAGATAACTCCAGCTTGTAACAAGTTGACAACACACAAAACAAAACAACAGCAAAACAACGACAACAGCCTGTGTGGTTGTGCATACAGGACTTCCTACCACGTAGCAAGTGCTATGTACTGAAAGAAGCGGCTCGTTTTCACAGCACTAATTATACATCTTTATACCCATGCTGACAGGGTAACGATCCATGTGCTGAGATTTTCCGTCATTCTGGATAACAAACAAAAATGAGCTGACATTGAGAAACCCCTTCAAGGCTCTGCGCTCCTTCCCTCTCTTGGTTATGATGGGCTGAAGAATGATTCTGCAAGGCGGTGGTGGCGCATGCCTTTAATCCCAGCATTTGGGAGGCAGAGGCAAGCAGATCTCTGTGAGTTCAAGGACAGTCTGGTCTATGAGAGCTAGTTCCAGAACTGGCCCCAAAGCTACAGAGAAACCCTGTCCCAATAAATAATTACATAAGTAAATAAATAAATAAGAAAAGATTCAAGACCAAATAGTGTCTGACACTGGGTATGTTTGGAGGGTGAATGTACTTGGCTATTTGCTTGCTGGGCAAGTACTATGTCAGCTTCAATGACTTTTCTGTTGCCAACCTGAGATACTCAACTTTATTCCATTATGAATGGACCATTCCCTTCATATATTATAAAGCACAAATCAGAGTACAGAAGAAATTTAAATTGCGCTGTTCAAGACACTTCTGAGATGGTGGCTCCATTGCGGTCCTAGATTTGCACTGATAAATTGAGAGAGCAGACAGAAGTGTGTTGTGGTTCCTTTAATATTTATTATTTACTATCACAGTGGAGCCTTTCTTTAAAAATCCACATGAATTTAGTAAAATTTTCAGTATTTTATAGGCATGATGTCTTCAAAAATACATATGTATATTATGCTTTTTTCAAAAATAGTATCAAGAAAGAAAGGGGCAGAATTTGTCTTCAATTTTGTCACTTTATCAAGTCAATGTTTCCATTTAACCTTGTAGCCCATGGGCATATTGTTAGAAACATCATGTTCCAGAGAACACTATATCATGAGTGAATAAATCACACTAGAAAATCTTAATGAAGTAACTCACTTTCAAGAAGTAATAAAGAGCAAGGCGGTGGTGGCACATGCCTTTCATCCTAGCACTCAGGAGGCAAACAGGCAGATCTCTGAGTTTGAGGCCAGCCTGATCTACAGAGTAAGTTCCAGGACAGCTAGGGCTACTCAGAGAAACCCTGTCTCAAAAAGAAAAAGAGAGAGAGAGAGAGAGAGAGAGAGAGAGAGAGAGAGAGAGAGAGAAAGATCTAAAGATATAATAATCCTGATAGATATACACTCAATGAAAATCTGGCAGCCACATACAAATTTACCGAGAAGTTATTATGAACTTTCTCATATGGGTACAAACATAGCTTAATAAGACTGGTATGCTGCCTACTACACCCAGCAGACAATACATCAGAATTTAAGTGCTGATAAAAAAGTTTCCATTACTTTTTCCATGGAGGCCAGGAAAAAATAGTAGAAACATTCTCAGAATCTAGCTCATGTGGATTTTATGGTGTTTATGACTGACAGACTCCAGAGGCTGGTCAGAACTTAAAGGTTATGATGGCTAACCTTTATTGTTTTTGCACACCTCTGGGAATGTAGGTGAGGGCATTCCCAGACACACACACACACACACACACACACACACACACACACACACACACGACATACACACACACAGAGGGGGGAGGGGGTTCTTTTAGTAAATTCTAATATACTAAATTTTTCAAGACTTAATATTTAGTTGATATTCCCTTAGATGTGTTATAAACCCATTCTTCCACAATTCAAAGGAGTGATCAACAATGCAAAGTCAGTGAAATCTGTTGCTCTTGAATCTGGTATTTAATTAAAAAAAAACAAAAAAACAAAAAAACTGGCACCAGGAAATTTGGATTAGAAAAACTGGGGATTGTTTGTGAGAAGAACTTGAAAATACGTGGAGGTAAAGACTGGAGGGGTTCTAGAATGCTCTATGAAGAAAGAGTCTGATGGACAATCAGAAGCTTCTTGGAGAGCTGAGAAAACTTCAGACAGTCAATGCTGTGGTCGGAAAGTCCGGGATGAGAACTATAATGGCATCAGATTAGAGGCCTTCAGGCTATTTTCTGGCAAAGAACTTGTCTGCATCTTGTCTGTGCCTTGAGACTCTACAGGAGGCTGAATTTAAAGGCAATGGACTAATTAATCCATTAATTAAGGGAAGGATATCTTACAGCCACTTAGCATCAATGCTGTTACAAGGCTAATGATTTATTGGGAAAGGCCACACTGAAAATTGGGAGCAAAAGCAGAGTGGATGGATTTGAAATGCCTGTAGATTGCCCAGAAAAGGCGTGTGTTCAATGTTGGGACCAAAGAAATGGTAGTTGTTAGAGATTAGGCACTAAAAAGAAACCAAGTACATTGTCTTGAGCGGTCAGAGAGAAGCCTTGCAGACACTTCATGAAAAGACATGGTCACTGGGACAAGATGTAGATTTGTCTGACAGACTTTCCCTGGAGAAGTGACACTCGAGGGTGTCCTTTCT